TTTCATGGTTCGGTAAAAAACGCGCACAATTGGCAGCTCCGGTAGTGTTTAGTATTTTGAGCATATCTCCCTCGTTCGATGTCCGATTTCAGTGATTCAAGATGTTTCAGATAGCCAACAAAAATGCCTAAAGCTTTTGTGTTTTACACATTCTCAAATTCGGATGTTAGTAGGTCCGAAACTGACCTCAAAGTACAAATTCGTGAACTGTACATAGATTCACCTACAACAAAAATAAGATCGTTAATTTTTCGTCAAATCAAAATAACAATAAAATATAGTTTATCATCTCCCTTTTCAACATCAAGAGCCTATTTTGGATCATCGTCAAAACTCATCTTCATGGGATCAAAAATTCGTCTTAAATTGTTGGAACCACGGCTGCAATTTGACGATTGATCACGAAACTTTGTGGATGAGGCTTGGACTCCATTTGTTCTCTAATTTTATAGGTAACAAGTTGCTACAATAAGAACCACGATAATATGGAGATAGGCAAGGTGAGGCGCGGACTAGGTCGCTCTCTTAAGACGAATTTCACGACCCCTTCTCTAATGAGGTGCAAAAAGGTTCCGATCGTGTCGCCTATGGGATACAACAGCCCAGCCTATCTCTCCGCTGTAACTTCACCGAAATTGCACGTTCGAGTGAAGTAGAAGCTTACACCCGACACACAACAAGAGCTCAAAATATATGTATATAGTATAGATGAAAAGTGTTTCTTTTTCTCTTCCCTCTTGTACCTTTACAAAGCTACAAAGCCACCTTTATATAGTATAAAATATGACCACCATAAAACCTATATTTAATATAGAATTAAAGGAAAAATATTGAGGTTTTATGAGACAAAATAAAGTCTTTGGTGGTTTCAAAATATTGCTCTAAATGACCTCATAAATTGGTCAAAGAAAATATTCAATAAAATATTATTTTTATTAAAAAACCCAACATATATGGTTAAAAAAAAAATTGATGGAAGGGCAATTCCGTCATACGAGCACTTGTAGCTTGATGGAAATGAAGGCCCTTCATAGTTGTCTTTTATAACCAGGTTTATGTATCTCCTCTTAGCTCGTTCTTCGGTTTTAAAGCTTCTTTTCGTGGATGAATTTTATCTATTGTTGTGTCTAATTTTAACGATTTTTTATTTATTAATTTATTAAAATCCCCTCATTGCATGAGTTCGAGATCACATGGCATTTTCGTGGTTTCAAATTTGCAAATGATTATTTTTTATTTTCCCCTTTTTCGGGTTATTTAGTAAGAGTACCCCGAACCTAAATCTATTAGAATGAGGACACCTCATAGTTAGGATATAGGTAAAAGTACTCCCTGGGATTTTTAAAGACAAAAGAATCCTTCATTAAGAAAACAGAGTAAAGAACCATTTTCGTGTTGTAATGTAATCGCAACAATATTACGTGCATTGTGCATGTTTTAAAGGATGATCGGAAAGACTCAATAAACACGTACGGCAAATATTTGGGTTTGCGTTTCTTGCATGTTGATGATGTTTGCTGTCTTGATTGTTTTGTCATGTTTGATTGTTTTGTCATGCTTGTTTGTTGAGTTTTGTGGTTAATGTGGTGACTGCAGTTTATGATTAATGTCTACATTTGTTTGTATGAAAGTATAAAAAGCTTAAAATGAGAACAAGGTTACAAAACTATTGGAGGGCAAAACATGGGAGTCCGGATATATAAATGAGACTAATTTTTTGTAAGCAATATGGGGCTATTTATGAGATTTTTCAAAAAACAAATTTAGGGCAAACATTAATTGCATATTACTAAACATTATAAACAATTATTATATTTGAATTAAAAAAAAAAAAAAAAACTAAATTCCTAACCCCTAGCATGTGGAAGTCATGTGCAAGAGCTAGAGGTGAAAATTGGAATGTAATTTCGATTTTCGTCGATTCCGATCTGAAAATTTTCAATTTTGGAACAATACTTTTCAATCTGAATACCCAAACTCCGAGTTTCGATTTTTCCGAAACTATTCGGATCCTAATTAGAATATATATGAGATCCTGATTTCTGATCCGGTTTTAAGTTCTGAAAATAATCCAAAAATTCCAATTTTTTTTCCTAACTAGATTCCCTACTTCCCATTGTAATTGACTTGAATTTACTCAAAAAAAAAAAAAAAACAGAAAATTTCGAAGTCAAACTGATTCCTATCCAAAAAAAAATCGATTTTGAAAAAAGTTTTTTCATTCCAATTTTGATTGAAATTAATTTTTCACTTCCAAAAAAAAAATCGAACCGGAAGAGCTTATTCTGATACGATCAATTTTGATTGTAATTATTTATAAGTTCTAGACTTATAAATAATTTACTAATTGAGTTTGTTTGTTTTTTTTTTTTAAATAAATATTTTTTTTAAGAGCGATTTAAATTAATAAAATCAGCAATACAAAGAACTTTGTGCCCAATTTATAAAATAATAACATTCTAAATAAATAATATAGATTGAGCACGTGACCAAGTTGTGTACAAGCACAGCTATTTGGGCCAACTTAATAAGAGTCGGATATTGCCAAAATGAATCAAAATAAATAAATAAACAAGGGTCGGATATATTATTATATTATTTTTCCAACAATTGGATTGAGCATTGACATTGAGCTCCAATTTTATGAGTTTATTAATTTCTTTGTTTAATTGGAGACTCGTTTATCCAGCTCTTTGTTTTTCTTTTAATAAATGAAACATGTATGTAACAACATATACACAATGAATATAAATATTGGTTTTGTACAGCAATTGGTAACTACAACACGTATAAGTGTAGTTCAACAAGGATGATCTAGCGGTTGGAGTAAGTGAGTTTGTGTCAGTTGATCAAAATTCGAATACTCTTATAAACGATAGCTAGGTCGAATTAGTCACACATGATTAGTCTAGTGAAATCTACGTCTCTCATAAATTTTGCAAGTTATTATAAAAAAAAGTGTAGAAAAGAAATGTGAGTTCTTTCATAATTAATAAAAAGAAAAGAAAAAAAAAGTGTAATATGTATTATACTCAGCTTATAAAATATAGAGTAAAAAAGGTTATGGCTCAGAGTTAATTACTACCTTATGTTTGGGTAATTACTACCATGTCATTCAACTATGAATTTTTTTTTTATACACGTCACCCTTATAGTGTCAAATTCAATAGAATATTTTAGATTCCGTGAAATGTTCTCTAGTTTAAACTCATTATATGCAAAAATACAATTTCTGATGCACCACAATTTGATATTTACAAGCCAAGAGACACATCTTATGATCATCTTGTTTGTAGATCTGAAATGGGAGATAATGGGTACAAACTCTCTAGAATATTTCATATAATCTAGAAGATTCCGCTAAATTAGACTCTTACAAGTAAACGTGTAAAATAAATTATAATTGAGGGGTAATTATAATTATCTAAACATGAGAGATTTTTTTTGTAATGTGACATTACCGCAGTGTGACCGTAATTTACCCTATTAAATAATACAGTAGAACCTCGATAAATTAATACCCGATAAATTAATAACCTCGCTTAAATAATAAATTTTCCCGGTCCCGACTCGGGGACAACGTGCTAAATTAATAATTCGCTAAATTTATAAGATAATACACATTCGGAAATTTTAAGAAGCCCCATATAATATATAAATTAATAATTCATAAAAAAAATTCTTAAATTACATGGTACAGTGCATAGTTTATAGATTTATGAAGGCTTAATAAAATATAATTTAATTCTCACTTGTTTCTTGTAGAAGTTCACATTACCATCAATCTCGTCGCTCACTTTTCTTAACATGGTTAGAACTTTAGGTATAGTTTTCTCATAACTCAACATAAATCGTTCTATACCATTACTGTTTTAAGAGCTTCCATTCGTGAAACGGGCTCTATAATGCATTGAACGAATGGTACAATGAATAATATATATGTAAAAAATTAAAAAAAAATGTATTTATTGAAAATAATAATAAAAGTAATTTCATAAATTAATAAGTTATTAATTAATGTATAAATTAATAATTATTAATTTATCGATAAGTTAATATTTCGCTAAATTAATGAAATCTTGATGGTCCCAACTGTATTAATTTATAGAGGTTTAACTGTAAATATTATGCTTCTTTTGTTTTATCCAGCAACCTGATTAGACTCGCCTTGGTTATGAGCTGAAATCAGTAGATCAGCCAACCCAGTTCCGCACGTGCGAGGAACAAAGAGATGCAAGAAGACACGTGTAAACCTAGTAGAACCCCGGACACTGCCTTAAGAATTGCAGTGAAGACACTTGTCCAACACGTGTCAATCAGCCATGCATGCAAAAGCACTCTCTCTCTCTCTCTAAAATGGGCCGCAGTTGATTCTTGGCCCAAATTCTTCATCTGCCGGGCCCGAACACATCAACCACCTTCACATCAGTATTTAATTCACTCCTGCAACAAAACCACTCTGGACAAGCTACTGTTGGAAAAGTGGATGCTCTCTCTCTCTCTCTCTACCTCCCTCTCTCTCTCTCTACATATAGATACACATACACATGTATCTATCCTCCTCACACACATGCATGCTTTCCTGAAGGCTTGTGGAGACAATTTTGGTAGCTTGTCGGATTTTTATTAAGAAAAAAACGGTAATTAATTAATCTTTTATGTTTTCAGTTACGAGTTCATATATATATATATATATATATATATATATATGTCTTCTATATGTATAACCCTACCGCTTAATTTATATATATTTGACCCCTGTTCTAGCTACAAATTAAGTATTAAGGGTAGTAGTAGTACCAATGTTTTGATTTTGTAAGTATATGTAAATAGATACAAAAACAGATCAAATGCTTTAATTTGAGTGTATGAGCTACTTAATTAATTTGTGCTAGGGATATTTAATTTAACCCCTAAGAATTCAAGATAGTGAATATTCATCTAATTTGCCTTCTAATTTGTAGATTAATTTCAGACAAAAAAAAAAAAAAAGGATGAAAATGATCAATAAGGATTCCGATTTTATTACAAAAGGAGATGCGGAGGGGCATTCGCCCCTCCGATCGAGCCAACGAGTACAACACACTAGTAACACAAGCCCGTCGTTGGGTAGACAATCTTCCTCGATATACTCCCTCACCCTAGACGAGTTCCAGCACACGCTCTGCGACAGCGGCAAGAATTTCGGTTCGATGAACATGGACGAATTCCTCAACAGCATTTTCACCGCCGAAGAAAATCAAGAAAACCACACGATGATGACGCAGCAGCAGTTGATTCCCCAACAAGGAGGCCACGAAAAGAAAACGCCACTGAAGGCGGGGCCCGCCTTAACAAGGCAAGGCTCCCTCGAAGTGCCGGAGCCTCTGTCTCGGAAGACCGTCGACCAAGTATGGTCCGAAATCCACAAAACCACTCACCCACACCGTAGCGAGAGTCACGCACGTGTAGGCAATCACAGCTCCTCTCAGAGACGGACGACCTTCGGCGAAATGACTCTGGAGGATTTCTTGGTCCGGGCGGGAGTCGTCAGGGGGCAGAATGTTTCTCCGCCCTTCGCCGCCCCTCCACCGCCGCCACCTCAGCAGCCGATGTATCCAGTGGGGCCCAGTTTCGGTGCTAGGCCAATAACGGCTGTGGGGCCCGGATGTGTGGATGTGGCATCTTATCAAACACTTGCACAGGTGGATAGTGGGAATCAGTTTGGATTGGATAATTTGAGAGGTGGAGGGAGGAAGCGGATTATAGATGGTCCGTTGGAGAAGGTTGTGGAGAGCGGGCAAAGGAGGATGATCAAGATTCGGGAGTCTGCTGCACGATCTAGGGCGAGGAAGCAGGTTTAATTAATTAATTAACTTTTGTTGCTAGATTAATTTGTATTGCGTATTGATGATGATAATTGGATTGTACGTACGAATTTCGTTTGAATGTTTGTTGTGTGTGTGCGGAGCTTACACGGTTGAACTTGAAGCAGAGTTGAACCAATTGAAGGAAGAGAATGCGCAGCTTAAACAAGCTATGGTAATCATGTTGATGCTTTCTACATGCATATATATATATATGATTTCGCCTACCAAGGCCTCGTTTTTCGTTTGGAAGATCAGTCGTTATTAATTAAATAATCGGGCCGTACCCGATATTTGGTTAGTCCGATAATTAATCTTATCTTGGCTAATCTCGTTTTAGAAACCAAACGAGCCTTAAATAAATAAAAAAGTCTAATGCGTGGTATCTAACTTTTTGTTATCTTGATCAGGCTGAGTTCGAAAGGAAAAGGAGGCAACAGGTACTCTCTTATCTGTCTTTTTCTTCCCGATTACAAATTGTATTTGGATATGTGTTTGTATCGAGTTTTTATGTGTGTTTTTTTTTTGCAGTTGTGTGAGGAAGTAAAAGTAGAAACGAAGGTGAAGTCGAAGGCTCAAATGGCGAAGGAGAAATTAAAAGGAATGAGGAGGAGTTCAAGTTGTAGCTACTAAATCAAGCTTCACCCGTCGATTTAATATGATACTACATGAGTTTGTCGAGTTTTACTAACCGAACCAAGTGAGTTAATTGGCCCAATGTATCGATACGCTTTGTTTCGTTCTTCTTGGTAGATGTAGCTGGGGCAGAAGTATATATATGTATTATATGAGCTTAAAGATTAGCTTTTAGAGTTGTATTGCTATATAGATAAGAGTACAGAATATATAATGTTGATGTGTTTGTATGCCTTTATAAAGGTTAATCACATGTTTGGAGAGTTTGCATATACATAGGTGGTGTGGTTCTTTTTTATTTATTTGTTTCTTACAAGAACGTGTGGGAGTACATATCCTACCTGATGAGCCAACTCGACAAAAGCTCGGACTGGAGCTCGGATATTTTTATCTTTATCTCGAAATCGATTACAATTGTTCGACAGCAGCCACCACAGCCACCAGCTCACAAGCTTCTTATTCTTTTATTTTATTTTATATATTATACAGTAAAATAATAATAATAATAATAATAATAATAATAATAATAATAATAATTATTATTATTATTATTATTATTATTATTATTATTATTATTGTTAAAAATATTATTATTTTTAAAGCTCCAGCTCACCAAAACTCATGCGAATTCGAGCCAGAAAATTTCTACTCGTCGAGCTCGAGTTCTAGTTTAAATAGTTGGATTTGAGCTCGAACCTTCCAAAACATTCGAGCTCGCCTCGTTCGCAGTCCTAGATATGTATATGTAAAAGTATGTACATGTTCGAGCATGATCAGCAAAAGAATAAAAAAATAGAATAACAAAATGTTAGATATGTGTTGGAAAAAAGATCAAATAGAATAACAAAATATTAGATATGTGTAAGAAAAAAGATCAAATGATTAGATTGTTTATCCGTTATTATCGAATGAAGATCGAATATAAATTTTTAAGAAAATCCGATTTAAAAAAAAAAAAAAATAATTAGATTACAGCTAAGATCTTATCTTAAACTCCTGGCAGAAAAAAACAAGATAGCACTGAATAGAGTAAACTATGGAGTAATATGTATGTGCCATTTATAGAAACATTTGTGTCAGATGATTTTCGTCAGTACCATGTTACTATAATGTAAAAAGTCCAAAATGACCTGCTGTCCATTTTTCTTGCTCAAGTCATAACTTAGAAATGGTAATGCAATGCCATTAATACAATTTCACATGAGCAGAGTTTCTTCTTGGTGCTCCGTTTTTCTACTTTTATAGTCGAGCGTCCCGTCATGCTTGTCTTACGTTTTCATTTCACTTTAATTCTTTCTCGAAACAAATTCGTGCTAGTCAAGATTTCTAGGAACAATTCTCGCAACAACTCTAAAGTTTCTTTGCTCTTTAGTAAAAAGATTTGACTGCTAAATAAATTTATCTTCACTCAAAACAAACAAATATCACTTTATTTTGCAAATTATTCTTTTACTATACATTTTCCCAACATGTTTAAACATGATTTGCCGCTAAGTGTCTCGTTTCAAATTGTAAACAAACAATGCTTTTGTTCTCCAATTATTCACAAAAAACATATTTCTCCAAAATAAAATGAAAATAACTCCCAAAATGCATCCAAGCATTGCCTGGTGTACGTTTCTGACACCACAAAAAAAAAAAACAAATGGGATGAGGTCTCTGTAATGGAACAAATCGAAGAGAAAACATTGATTTATTTATCCAAAACGAGTTTACAGCAAGAAAACTCCATTCATCAATCCAACTGTAAAAAAAAAAGATGCAAATTTCCCTGTTATGTTAACTGCAAGAGAAGCATATCCATTCAAGCACGAAAAAGAAGAAAACTTCTTCAGGGCTGCCTGATAAGTGCCTGAATTATTACCACTAAACGAAAAAACAAAAAATCGAAAACGAAAAAGAGCGAAGAACAAACTTCCGGTTATTCAATCCCTATACTCCCAAATCGCCAAATCCCCAAAGTCGATCAAACCGTTTTCAAACACCATTTGTAAGCATAGGAATAAGACTATCGTAATACAAACACGGCTTATTGTAAGTCTTCATAGCCCGATAGTACTCGATTTTCTCCGAAGTTCGATTCTTGAGGCTATAACAAATAAGATCCTTTTGCTCCATATGGACCAATATTTCGTCGGCCTGATCATCTGACGGAATCAAAAACTTCGGACACAGAGGGTAAAGATTAATACTGTACTCGACTGACCAATTCTCGTTGTTCTTCTTCTTCTTATTCCCCTTCAGCATCCATATATCCATAGTCGAAGCTTCCGCAGAAAAACCGACGACACAGAGCGAACCCATTAGCCCAATGTACTCGAGGAAGCTGTATTTTTTGGATTCGTGTGTTGGGTACGAAATGCTGCTGAATTCCTCTCTCTCTAAATCTAGAGAGAGAATGGACTTGTCCTTCCACCCGGAAGAGAGCGCCCAGTAGATGATTCCGTTCACGCACACCGGGTACTCGTCGGTCCACGCGCTGAACGGGCAGTCCCCGATTGTCCTCCACGACCCGGATCCGACACCGGTTTGGGTGCCGAACGAGAAAATCTCGCACCCCATTTTCCCGTTCCCGACGAGCGAGCGGCAGAACATGTGCACGATTTTGTACTCTTTCGTGGCCGGGAGGTAGCCGAACCCCACGTTGTAGAGGCGCGTGTTGGAGCGGAAGGGCACACGCGCCACCTGCTGGATGCTGGGGTTGCAGACGTACATGGAGAACATACAGCACAGGATGCTCAGGGGGCCGCACGTGACGAACGCGTGCACGGCGCCGTCGATGACCCTGGTGAACTTGTCGGTGACCTCGCCGCGGAGGTCCATGGAGGTCAGCTCGACGGTGATTTTGCTGTTGTTGAGCTCGCCGGTCCCGTCGGAGATGTACCGCCGGACGAGGAGGAGGGGCTTCTGCTTCGAAAGCTCCACGTGGCGGGACATGAAATCGGCGTCGCGCGTGAGGAGGCTCCGCCACGACTGCGAGACGCACCTCAGCCTGCAGAGATCTTTGGAGGGGAGGCGCGTGAGGATCTCGATGACGAGATCGCGTGGGAGGTGGCCGATCCCGTCGAATTCAACCATGTTGTGGTGGCGGTGGGAATGAAATCTCCTGATCTGTTTTTCGGGTTTCGGAATGTTGGATTGATTAGTAATCATGGATTGGATGGATTGATTATCTTATAGGTATTTTTTTTGAAGGGAATGAGAAGTAAAGCAAGTTGCTGGGATATGTATAAGTGGACTTTTCTAGAAGATGGGAAAAAAAATAATGAACACTGGATAAAGGTGTTTGTATTATACAAATGGTGGTGGCAAAGAAAATGTAAGTCTAAAGCATTTCTATTACTATATATACATATATACATATTTTTAGTATTTTTATTACTTGTGAGATTTGAACACTAGTGTGACAAGTTGTGACATTGTTTAATCTTAAATCAATTGGAATGGTAGATGGCAGACATGGTCAATTTTTTTAGTCCCTACTAGGGTCCGAAAATTGGGACAACACTTTTGATTTTCACCAATTTCGATTCAATTTTGAAATAATATTTTTCATTTTAAATTCCAAGCACCTGATTTTTATTTTTTTCTTCGAAATTGAAATATATATGAGATTTTCGATTCGATTTTCGAAAGTTTACACTAACAATATAAATATTATTGTACATTTTATATGTTGTGACTATAAAAAATTTTGATCCTATTTATGATTATTTTTAACTGAATTGGAATTGATTTTTCACGTCCAAAAAAATTTGGAATTTTGCCAAAGGTTCTTTTTTCCGATTCGATATATCCGATGGACGGCTCTTTAATTGGCTTTGTTTCCATGTGATTTCAAAATTTCAGTCACGATCAACACTATCATCAGCATTGTCTAGTCTTTATCGATTACTTAATTGTATCAATTTGTGTGTTGTATTAACCTATTTGTTATCACAAAAAAAAAAAAAAAAAAAAAAAATTCACTATAAACTATTAGAAAGTTGAGGCTGCTCGAGAAACCGAATAAGTTTAGTTTATGATATACCTTTTATATAATATATTATCATCTTTTATGTACAGAAACACAGATCCAAATTAATATAATTTAATATATATACACTTTGATTAGGGGTGGAAATCAGAACGAACGAATCGGAAATTTTTATTTCGAAGGATTTCTAATTCTTTTTGAAGTAGAAAATGGATTCTAATTTTTATTCCAAAAAAACCGGAATGCAAAAAGTTCATTATGATTTCGGAAGGCCTGGAAATCGCGGAATTTTGGTACTCTCTTGTTTCAAATTCGGATATAATGAGAATTTTCATAATATTTTTCCTATCTTTTCTGAATTTTTGCTGGAAAATACGATGGAAATCTAATAGAGAGTTCGATTAAACGCAATAAAATAAAAACACGTGTAGGAACAACAATAGAAAAAAAATGCAACTAAGAGTTTCTAATACCAATTAATTTTTTCTAAGGTTTTAATTTACTTAACCCTTCGGATACATCTTTCATATAAAATGAAACATAAGTATATATTATGAAATTACAAAATATATCACAAAATTATATTATATATTTAGAAGAACAATCGAAATATTCTGAACTAAAACTAGACCGAAGATCAGAATTTCCGGTATTTTATATACAATTCCAATTCCGTTCCAAATAAATCCGAAAACAATCGAAAATCAAAATAAAAAAAATACAATTCGAAATTCGAATATTTTCGAATTGGAATTGGATTCTGAAATTCAAAAATCCCATTACAGTTTCCTCCCCTAACTTAGAGAGTGTAAACAAATTTGATCCCAAGTTTTATGAAACAATAATTACTTGTATTTTCAAAATTTAACAGTTCGCTATCAAATCAGATTTGGCAATCTAAGAATTGGTCAATTTTAAATAGTTATTGTTTTCTTTCGCCGCACGATATCTTGTGGGAATATGAAATCTTCCTCACCTCATTTAAATATTATTCAGTCAGTTTCGTGTAGCTTGTCTTTACAAAATTTTCAATTCTTAATTACATACAAATTTACATTTGCTAATTTTTTAATTGCCGTTGCACCATGGAGCACTCAAAAGGCAATGTATGGACAATTTAACAGTTTTTTAGTCTGTACGGAGTTTGGCTAGTGCAGTTTACATTTCTCGTGAGTTACGAAATATTAAAGACAACAGAGTTTGCCGGCAAATTCTTTTGTTTAATGAAAAAATAAAATAAAAAAGAAATAATACTTTTCACTTATTTTAAAGGACTATTTAAATCAGAAAATATCATGATTATATGAATTTTCGATTTATGATGGTGACCTCATCCAATTTTGTTGTAATTAGTATATACTCCACCCTAATAATCTAATGTTCCTAGATTGTTATCACAAATAAAAAGCAAAGATAATAATTCTTCTGTTTGCCCTCGTCATACATTCATTGTTTTCATGCAGAAAAAAAAAAAAAAAAAAAGGCAAATTACGGCCACCCCTTTGAGATAATGTTAAAATTGCGAAAAATCCCATCATAACTGGGTAATTACAACCACCTCGTTCAATTATATATTGTCTTACGAAAAAAACCCGTCCTTCAGTAGATAAATTTGACACCGTATAAGTGGACGTATAAAACAATACATGGGGATTTGTTGTAATTACCCAGTCAAGAGGGATTTTTTCATAATTTGATCTTACCTCATAAGGTGGCTGTAATTTGCCCAAAATATATATACATATATGATTGGAAGAACTATAGTACATTAACTTGAATTACTTTATTTATTTTTTTATTTTTAGTCCATGCTAACTAAAAAGCACAATCACTCTATATATATACAAATGCTGGCTGCAAAATGTCAACACCATTTAAATAGACCACTTGTTTTCTATGGTACCCAAAAAAAAAAAAAAAAAAAAAAAAAAAACGGAGACACGATTGTCGAATTAGAGTGCTTCGTGCATCAAACGACAGGGTGTGAGAACTTGTTATCTATTCAAGTGGTGATGTCAACACATAAAAATGCAGTCACTATCTAAAAACACATCTGTTATGAATATTTTCGAACGAACAGAGACTTAGTAGTACAAGAGTCATCTCAAGTAAGTGTCGTTTATATATATTCAAGTAATAATCACTTGGCAATAAAGAAAAAAAAACACGAAAACTCGGCTTTACAGTTGCATAAGCACAATAAAGTATGACCGATTCATCCTCATAAACAGGCAAAAAAATGCGCCGCAGTTGGTACTAATTCAAACTTTCAAGCAGTAATTGACTATTAACCTCTTTTCATCTCAGCAGAAAGTGTAGAGACGTACCTAACAGCGTGCAGGGGAGAAAAAAACATCATCGACCTTCGCAAACTTCAGCTCCAAGCTTCCCAAACTTCCGGAAGAGACATTTTTTTAATGCAAAAACTACAAGGTCGAATTAAGGTTTTCTTGATAGGTAAAAATGCACGTTTTCTGACATATGAATCGTCTATGGGTAAGCTTCGTTCTACGGGCCAGATCATATGTATCCAAATGCTTCTATCCAAGGCAAAGCATTAAAAGGATATCCATGCTACATAAGATTTATCCACAATCTTGGTTAATAGAATAAGATTGATAAGAAAAAATAATATTGGATACTCAGCCGGAAGCCGGAAGCCAGTTAACAAAAACAGTACCGAAGCAATAAAATCATCCTATATTTCTTGTCCAGTTCATTTTCTATCCAACAAATACTATCTCGGTAAATAATAATTATTAGTAACAAGCATTTTCTGAAAATTACATAAATGCCCTTTCAAATTCTATAATCTGTAACTCGTCAACAATCTGAATTAGGTTTAGGAAGATCTGCTCAATGTGTTTGGAAACCAATCAAGTTAGCTACAAGTCTTATCCACTAATTTCGCCAGACAGTTTGAAGTTATAACCACCTTATTTTATCGATAGTGCACCGAACTAGGATCTATTTAATGTAGACATTGTTTAACTAGAAGTCCCACCAAACTAATTTCGCCTAACAGTCTCACCCAACTTAGATACTGTTTCACCTCTGCAGTCGATGGTTTTCTAACACAAAGCACCCTTTGTTCTAATAATAAATGATGCTCGACCGTCGTATCATTTGAACAACATATATGAGAGTATGTGTGTGTGTGTGTGTGTGTGTGTGTGTGTGTGTGTGTGTGTGTGTATAGATAGATATTAGAAAAGAAGCAAAAATATGTGATACGAGAAAGTTCTTGACAAGGCAAAGAGAAAACAAAGATTCTTCCTTTTCAAGAATTATAACAAAACGAGTAAACAACCACAACAGTCAAACAAAACCTAAACTTACACGGAAAGAATATCGGTAACCCACAACTGCACTAAAGTTCAAAAATTGCCTGAGAAAAATCAAGAATCACCGCTGACCAATAACCATCTCCGCCTGCTTCTGTACCTCGTATCCGAGTACAAGCTTCAAATGCGCCAGCGCAAGTAATATATCTATTCGTATTCAAATTGAACCTCCACGTGCAGGTACTTCCTCATAAGTCTCACAATGGACGAAGTGAAATTGGCCAACGTCTGACATTCTTCGTGAGTTTTCGTCTCGGACACAACCCCATGTATGACCAACTTCCTTAAACGAGGACACCTTTCCAAGATTCCCGAAACCCACATCGAAAAAAAGTCACTAATCACCGTCCATCCTAGTTCCAAGACAATCACATTCTCCAAGACAAACGAACCCTGTAACCCGTACTGAAGTGCCGCCTCTCTCAAATCGTAATTCAAAGAGAGATGGCTCAGTAAAGGAAAGCACGAAGCAATTGTCTCTATGTAAACAAATTCATCCTCGTCGTCGAACACAACACCCCAAAGCCTAAGCTTTTTCAACTTCGACGACCGTGAGATCATATGGTGGAACTTCGCCCACATGATCGTGAAATTGCTGACATCGACAATTTCGAGATTCTCAGCACTCTCGCCGATATCGAGATGGATGACGCTGACGTCGTCGATCTTCAGGAATCTCAACATCCCTTTTCCGACAAGCTCGAAAACTTCGAGCGTGCAGTCTTTCAAGTGCAACTTCTCGAGGCTATCAGCCTCGAGTATGAACTTATCCAAGCTAATCGCTTCGACGTAAATATCCTTCAACGAGTTACTACTCAAATCCATCATTGCCTGTGGATCGGACATGACAATATCTAGACTGACTAGGTTCAAAGTTTCGATTTTCGGACATGCTGTAAGAAGAAGGCTCAGATCCAAAGCTGATATACTCACGTAACTCAAAGAAAGAGATCTTAGGCGTGGGAATTTCTGATAACACGGCTCAACCCCCGTAACTGTATTGTGAGACAAGGCCAAGACTTCGAGCTTTTGACGACCGCACTTCTCGAGCATGTTGATATTAGGGGTTGTCCTCACATTGTAGTGAAGCTGGCGTAAGGTTTCTCGAGTGTACATGAGCCAAGCGATAACCGGAGCAGCAGAAAATTCGTCCACGTCATCCATAATTATCGAAAGGCATTGCAGCCCTTTGGTTTGGAATATTGTTTCGGTGATGAGTATCTCGAGTCTGCTAGTGGAGAGTTCGTGGTACAAAGGCCAATCGTTGGAATTGAAAGTGAGAGTGTGGAGATGTTTCCTCCAAGCGTTTTGCCATTTCCGGCAAGTTGCGGATGCTATCACAACGTCTCGGGCGGCACCGAGGCGGGACAGTATGTTCCCGACAACCTCAACCGGAAGAGATTCCATGCCGAATCAATAGAATAGGATATTCAAGAATTCTCGAGTTTCGAATGTGAATAACCCAAATCCATCGAATGAATCTTTCAGAAATCTCGGATTTCACCAACTTATTTATGCTCAACCATCCAACTTGAAAATGTGACAACTTGATCAAATCCCAGAAATAAAATTCTAATATTTTCCAATCAATTATTTTCCAAACAAATTCAGTCTACCCCAAATGCCCACCTGAAAAAATCATTTGCCCAAGAAAATACATAAACATACGGATGACGTCATATCTTTTAAAATCAAGAAAATTGATAGAATTAAAAAACGTGGGTCCTTCCTTACCTGAAGATTCCGACGGTAATAGAGAGAGACAGCCCATATTGAGAGAGGAATGTAAGAAAAGATCGATCGGAAGAATTGAATCGAATGTATAGAATTGGATTGAGCAAAAGGGGGTTTCGGTGTGGAATCTGATTGGCTGGAAGGTGGGGAAAAGTTGAAGCTGATTATGCGCACAAACAAAACTGGGGAATACAATACACCCACGAAAATTAGGTCTGTATTTTTAATGATTGTATTATTTTTTGTACATTAAAGGCCAATCATACGGCATCGCCGGGTCCTGTATTTATACATATATATTAATTATTATTATATTTAGAGAGAGAGAGAGAGAGAGACAGAGTATCGAATATTTCAGATTTTTTAACAATATGTTCCATTCACAAAGTCCGATTTCCAAATTTTTCGATTTTTTTTTAACAATTTTGGAATATATATTAGATTTTTTATTTTCATTTTGATTTTAATTTTGGAAGATATTTCAAGTTCTGTTTTTTTCTTATAAATTATAGGTGACTAAAAAATGGAAATTTTGAAATTCACCGAATTTCAATCCGAAACTATCCGGCTTTGGAACTATTTGAGATATTAATATTAAATGATAAATTTAACTAACGGCTTAAGATTTTTTGTTGAGATGGTTGGTTATTCATGACGATCCAATTGTGGATATGAAGGAGTTATTCATATCGAAGTTGTCAATGGTATTAACGCCATGCCAAATGAAAAAGGTTCTGCATTCGAATCCCACCGACATTCTTTTCAAATATTTCAAGTACAAGGCTTCAGATGTAATTTGACTACACTTGAGGGGGCGTATTGGAGATATTAATATTAAATGATAAATTTAACTAATAGCTTAAGCTTTTGGTTGAGATGGTCATTCAACAAGAACATATTTTTACATTCCGGTTTTCAACTCTTCCAAACTCTTTCATAATGAAATTGAAATTAGTTTTCCGCTTTCGAAAAAAACTTATTTTTTGTAAGTGTCGATTTGCGGATTCATGTGAATCGGACCGAATCCAAATCCACATCGTCTGAGAATGCTTCATGCTTGTTTGGGTAATATGGCCGAGTTAAAAGCATGAAGAACTCAAAAACCTAAGCCACCAACTGATTTAGGCATTTAGGCACACGCACCATAGACTAATTTATCGTTAATATTGTCTTTTAAAAAAATCGACATAAAAAAAAACCAAAAAAATCAAAAATAAAACAAAGAAAACTCCCGCCACAACATTTTATCAACAGTCACAAGTCACAACACACTGGACTATATCAACAGCTGCAAAATGATTGATTTTTCATAGTCTGCTAATAGCTCAACAATTTACTTTCATGTTTATAAGAATTATTTCGTACCGTTTTGCTTCAAATGGAACTCATCGTAAGATGAAAATCCTCGATTGTCTGTCCTCAAAAGATATAAAAGTGTAACTAATAGCTACCAATATTAAGAAATAATTCAGAATGAGTAAATGCTAAAAAATTTAATGATTATTGAAAAATAACCACAACGCCTTACTTTAAATAAAAAACAAAGATTGCGTACTAAATTAACATATTTTTTCGATGATTACAAGAATTTAAACTACAAGTATTTTCTAAGAAAGGAGCGTCGAAAAATTTACTCGTTTTCAAATTAGGCTGAAATTCGTGTAATCCCACTTACTGCCTTTATTGCGCCAGAAAGCAAGACGTAAAGTACAAAAAAGAGAGTAACTGACTAAAAACGTGCCGAAAACCCGGAAAAAGAAAAAAAAAACAAAGACCTTCGAGAAATCGGTAAAAAGAAGGCGGAGAACTCAATTGTGTGTTCCCTCATATCTCTGCTCATTTCATTAACCATTTTACCATTTCTCAGAGACCGTCTTTCAGTAATTCAATTCAACTAGCAAAGAGTCTTCCGTTTAACAAGGTTAGTAACTGATATACTTCTTTCTCGATTTTCTAGAGTTGGAGTCCGCAATCATTCAGGTTAAATCTCAATCTTTTGTTCTCGGCAATTAGATTTTATTTCCACATTTATATGTACCCAATTTATTTATACGTTTTTCTAATTAACTCTAAAGATAAATCTACATCAAAACACATAGATGGTTTGTCTATCGTTTAACCAATTTCGACATTTGTGAATAAAAGGTCTTAATTTGTCAAAAAGAGAGTGTGACGAACATATAAGTTATAACACTAGTATTAAGGTACCTAATTCTATTCTTGTAGCAACAATGTTTATGTATCGTATCATTCAGCTTTTGCATTTGTTACGTATCGATTTGTTGATTGGATTCATTGACATTTCCTATAATTGTTTAGTGTATTTAAGTCCGATTAACATTCTTTTTCTAACCAAAAGCTCATTTATGTGGACTCGGACATCAAAAGTAGCATATGTTTGCTTAAAACAGCAATCGTAAAAACCTCAAACTTGCTGTTTCTGCCAGTTTTTACCATCGTTGTCGATTTCTCCTAATACTTAACCAGGGCTTTAGGCGTTTTCAGATCTTACGAAAAAGAGGAACATATATCAGTTTGGGCAAATTACGGCCACCCACTGAGTTATGGTCAAATTACGAAAACCTCCTCCTGGTTGGGTAATTACAGCACCCCTCAACTATGTATTATCTTACAAAAATACCCCTCCAGAAGTAAATTTAGGGATGTTAAATCGGCAAAACCGAACCGAAATTTCGGTACGCCACCGTTTACCGAACTGAATATATGATTTGGTTCGGTAAATAACTGAATTACATAAATTTTATGTAAAAATATTTAAAATGGTGGGTGGCTGTAATTACCCAAACAAGAGGGTTTTTTTTGTAATTTGGCCATACCTCAGGGGTGGCCGTAATTTGTCCATATCAAGTTTAAATCATGACTGAACTCCTCAAAACAAACTAGGCTTTAAAAAATCAAAAACAATATTAGGCGGAAAGAGAAAACCGAAAATACGGACACTATCTTCTTTAAAAGCAGTCTATCTCAAGAAAACTATGTTCTATGTGATACTATGACACGATGAACTCTATTTCTTTTAGGTGCTATATATATATATAGTTATACTTATCTTACAAACTACCGTATACAGATGGCCAATATGCCGCCTCCATATGTAGAACCAGGCGAGTTCCACTTCCTAAAAATAATGGCAGAGGAGATCGAAAAGCATTACGTACCTGGTTCGACTTTCAGAGAAGAAAGCCAGAACTATGTGTTCCGAAAGTTCCGTGTAGCATTCGGTCCGTTTTATTCAGACCGTTTTCTCAAGTCGAGATTCAAGCACCTTAGGAAACGATACCAAGATTTCTCTGACATCCTGAGCCACGAGGGAGTACACTGGAACAAGGAGCATAATCTTCTTTACGGCAATCAGAAAGTGCTTACGGAAAAATGCAAGGTAAACGATTAATCATTCTTGCTGTTTATTTCACTAAATAATTTCTGGAATCTGAATATCCTATTAACCTAAGTACACTGTGCTTTTTTTTTCTTCTTTTGCCAGAGCCATTTCAAGAATGGTCGTTACAATGGAGAACCGCACTTTGAACTCATGAGCCAGATTTTCGGAAGTGGGATTAAGTATCTGTACATTTGAACCTTGGTGTTATCAAAACCGTGGAATCGTCATTTTCTTCTGTTATAGAATCTCTTATTACAGAAACCATCTTTCTTGAAATTTTATCGATGTGTGAATTGTGATACTCAAACACCACACAATGCTGGGATATTCCTTTTCTCTTTATCGAAAAAAGTAATGGTCTAAACTCGACTTGATCATCTTCTTATTCGTTAGATCCGAGTGTTTCTACCTAGATTCAATTTGATTCTCGTAAATTCCGTCTCGACAAAAATTAGGATAAGAGGCAAATGGAATGGAAATTGTTAGCTATTACGCATTCTATTGTTAAGATACTGATACCAGAAATTAAAGAATGCAGTTCAGAGATTCATAATCCTTGTTTAACTTAGTTTGATTTTACGAGAAAAAAAGAAGAAAAAAAAAACAAACATTTTATTCATTTGAAATTAAAGACCCACCCAAAATTGTATGAGTTTCACTCCAGACGATAATTAACACCTACGGTCAAATAATTAAAGAAATACTCAAAATTAGGGCAAATGCAATTCGAACCACAGTGAATGAATCGGTGTTGGAATCTTACGAATTTTGCGGCGGAAGGCGACGGAATTGCTCAGCACGGCCGCTCGCTAAGAGAAGGAAGTCTCCGCGGCAGGCGATGACACGATATGGTGGTGAACGTTTGTATACAAACTAAATTTCGCAAATGGTGATTTAAAATACAGCTGTATTTATATCCTTTTGATTAAGCTACTTGAGCTCTTCTTGTTTTAAATTAGTGTAAATTACACCCATACCCCTGAGATATGCTTAAATAATTTTAAGGTCCCTATTGTATCGATAATTACAGTCACCCCCTGAAACGTAGTTAGAAGCTCTAACGGGATAATGCATTGGATAGATTATTCCGATAGGGTTCTAATGAACTATTACTTTTAGCTAGTGGTGGAGATAACATAGAGTTATGGGGAGTAATTGGTTGATATGGCTCCGCTAATATTTCTTAAATCACCCATAACTCTTTGTTGTCCCCACCACTTCCTGAAACCAATAGTCCATTAGAAACTCTATTGTAATAACGTATCCAATGCATTATCCCATTAGAGTTTATAACTACGTTTCAAGGAGGTGAGTATAATTATCGGTACCACAGGGACCTCAAAGTTATTTAAGAATACCTCAGGGGTATTGGTGTAATTTACCCTTTAAATTATTTTTCCTCAATTCTTTTAGGATTAAATACATTTTACACCCCTAATGTATACCACATGTAACACTTACCCCTAAAGCATAATTTAATTTGTATTTTAATTTCTAATGCCTTCAAGTTTTCTATTTTATTGAAATGAATAACTAAATCAAAAAGTATAAGCTTGGATTGTGACATGGACTACGTCGCCAATATGGGCCTCGCCCAAATGAATAAAAGCAATTGCACATAAAGCCCAAGTAGGGCAGTCCAAAGACAGAAGCCGAGCTGAGTTTTGTTAAAAGGACATACGAAATCCTAGCAAGGAGAAAACTCATTTGACTCTAACGTTGCATGATGAGTAAGTCATAAGGCGTTGTGGTATGACTTCGGGTCGGGGTGAGCTGAGGCTTGTTTAACCTAAAAGCCCATTAAATGCGGTAGGCCGAAATGAGAAGGTAATTAGGTCAAAACCCCAAATGAAGCATGCGTCCAAAGAAATAACACATTTATAAATAGGGGGTTCACTTAAACTTTTTACTCTGTGATTTTTTTTTTACTAAAATACATAATATACATACAAAATCTCTATTCTAAATTGATCGTCGCGAAACCCCTGCTGGTGTTGCAAGAACGACGGCTGACCGAGATTCAGAGCGGACTCAAGCCAAGGCGAGCAAGACCCTTGCCTTAGGCCTCCGAAAAATCAGGGCGTTCGATTTTGGTCAATCATTATATGCAAATACATGGGTCAGTCATACCAGAGAGAAGAGGAACAATGATGATGTGTTTGATGAACTCTTTTGTGGAAAGAAAGAAAATGGACAGTGAAGAAGGAAGAAAATGACGAGGGAAAAAAAGTTGGAGAGATAATATGGCTGGACAAAAATGTAAAAACACTTGGAAAACTATGGAGTTAAATTTTTAACGGTTGTTAATGTTGACTCAAATTCAGAGAAGCTGTTTTGGATCATTTGGTGGTTACATGACAATAAAAGATGAGCATTACATACAATACATGGTTCAGACTAGGGGTGTAAATAAGCCGAACCGGCTCATGAGCTGGCCCGAAAAAAGCTCGAGCTAATCTTTAGTTGTTATATATTACATATTTATGTTTTATTATATAACTTTTTTTTTTTCATATAAATAATCCATAATAAAAACTAAAATTAATATTATGTAAAATTTAGAAATAAAATAAAATAAAATGTAAATGGGTTGAGCTCGAGCTCGACGGGCTCAACTCGACTTGAGATTGAGCTAACCAAATTTGACTCGAAAAATATCAACTTTCTATCTCACTATTTCAAGGCATATTTTTCTAATCAAATATTTTACTTGCATGATAAATATGACAGGTGATGAGGTGAAGTACTAGTAAATTTGTAAATCAATAATTGCGTAGGTGTTTTTGATATATATTAATATTCGGTGTGATCATATTATTCCAATGCTCAAACATTATTGATATGTTTACAGTCAGAAATAAGTTGTATTTATTCTGAACTTTTTAATTTTATTGAAGGAAATATTTATTCTGAATCCTGATTTGTATAAACGGTCTCAGAAGCGAACCCCTCTCATGGCCATGGTGATCATTGGATTAACCTTACTGTAACCCCCATCCACCACCATGTTCATTCCACTCACATACTTCGACTCATCGCTCCCCAGATAAACCGCCGCCTCTGCCACGTCATCCGTTTCAGCCACCGCCCCTTTCAGATTCGCCGCCGCAGCCACCCACTCCGCCGCCGCCTTCTCGTCCGCCGCCGCCCCCATTGCGCCTCCGAGCATAGGGGTGGGGATCAGGAATGGGGAGACGCAATTGACGCGGATCCCGTGCTTCCCGAGCTCAAGGCACAGCTGATTCGTGAGCCCGATCACGGCGTACTTGGAGGAGGCGTACGAGATCGGGAACTCGACGGCGGTTAGGGCGGAGGCGCTCGAGGTGAAGATGATGCTCCCGCTCTTCGCCTGGATCATCACGCGCGCCGCGTGCTTGGCTCCGAGGAACGCGCCGAACACGTTGACGGCGTACACCTCCTCGAAGTGGCTCTTCTCCGAGTCCAGGACGGAGGCGTGCCGCATCGGGACGGTGATCCCGGCGTTGTTGTACATGATGTCGAGTTTCCCGTGCTTGGCGACCGCGAAATCGACGGCGCTCGCCACGTCGGATTCCTCGGTGACGTTGTTAAGTGTATATTTTTACACTTTATCATATCTTTTTATTTGAGCTTTTGGTGTGTTTTAACGATAATTGGTGCTTAAAAAGTTGATTTATTGTATTTTAGGTACAAATTGAAGAATTGGAAAAGTATGGGGTCAAAACTGCAATTTTGGCGAAAATATGGGTCAAAAGTAAAAATATCAAAATTCTGAAGATTTAAAGCTGAGACCCCCGTCCCAGTTTTAGTGCAAATTGTGAGACCCCCGTCCGAGACTCCGAAATTGCGCAGTAAAGGAATTTTAATTGCACAAGGAAACTGCCTTCTTCCCCAAATTCTTCACCCTATATAAGACCAAGCCAAGCACACAATTGGGGATCCATCTTTTTACGCAAATTCAAGAGCAAAGAAGATCAACGAAGATTCAAGCATAGTTTTTCTTATTTAAATTATTTATTTTGTTTATCATAAGAATTACGAGTAGCTAAGTCTTTATTTCTAGGATTTTATTTGGAACCCTATGTGGGATTTATGAACCCTTTTCTATGATTTTATGCAAGTTTTAATTCCGGATTATTTCTTCTACTTGTTTTATTAAGTTCATGAAACTGGCCACTTTATGTGCTTTTATGTTATTGTTAATCGCATGAATCGGAAGATCGGGTTAATAATTAGAACTGTGGTAGAAGAACCTTTGTGGTATTAACATAGGAATATAGTTAATCTCTTAGGTAGCCATTATTGAGATTTGTGCTTAATGATGTGTTCTAGAATTAATTGCATAGGAATATAGTAATTGAATCTAGAGTATTAGAATCGTAATACACGCGGAAGCGGGTTATGATTATTTTAGCATCTCAGGTTAATAATCCGGGTTAATTGCTTGCATAATTGAAGGAATTGGGGGAGTAATAATCACATAGGGGGAAGAATAAAATCCTAGGCTCGTTTACTCTGATAAATCTTCGTGTTTAATTTGCTTTCTTGCTTTGTCGTTTTAATTTGCTTTTTAATTTATTTTAGTTAATTCTCTTTAAAGTCGACTGTGTAGGGTGGGCTTGATAATAATTGGTAGAGTTTAGCGTCTAGGATTAGATAATTAAATATTCCCTGTGGGTTCGATATCCGGACTTAATTGTCCACTATATTACTTGTACGATACGTGCACTTGCGTGTAGGTTTTCGACCAACAAGTTTTTGGCGCCGTTGCCGGGGAATATTTTAATTATTTATTTTATTCTAGCTCTAAATTTGAACAATTTTCACGATTCACCCAAATTATTTTTTTTATTTTTTCGTTTTAATATATTTTTTTTTTTCTTTGGTTACATGTCAGGTTACAATTTTCGCGCAACTCAAACGGGATATGAATGACTTCCGTCTGGCGAATACCTCCAAAATACCTATAATATGCCGTTGCTTTGTTCAATATGTGGTGGAGAACATTACGCTAACCAATGTTGGTATGCACCGAAGGCGAATAATTTCATAGATAATACCAACAGAGGTTACTGCAACACATACACCAACACGTACGAGCAGAGCAATTCAAGCCAAGATTTCCACAATTTTCAACATCGTGAGCCGCAATTTGATGATTTTCAAACCTATTATGCAAAGCCACGAGAACCCACTATTGAGGAGTGTTATAGGAAATCCATCCTTGAAGATTTTATGAAATCCACTCAAGCATCTATCCGAAGACTTGAAATAATGTTGGAAGAGATGAAGCTCAAGAGGTCTCTTGAAAATATTTCAGACAATATCGAGAATGGTTGCAACAAAGAAAATTCGTCTGAAACTTGTGATGAGAAAAATCCTTTAGACCTAGAAAATAGTGTCGATGAGAGGGAAAAAGAAATTACGAAGACACTTGAAGATGATGAATCAGACAATGAAATCGAGCTCAACTCCAAAGATGTCTCGGAACAAGAGAAGAAGGAGATGGATGTGGTTAATGCAAATATTCAAATTGATGATCTTATTATTATTCCTGACGTGGCTTTGAAGGCATCAATAGAGGTTGATAAGAAGGCGAATGTGTTTGAAGTGGAGGTTATACGCGGACGTGAGGTTTTTGTTTACCGATTTAAGGGAGCGGGTGATGAAGATCCCTACTTGGCTTCGTACCGATTGATTACAACTAAGAAAGACTACAAGCTAAGGTGGACCCTAACATATTGCAATCCTATCCCTGTATCGGTTGCAATTGAAGTGACAAAGCTCATGGATGGATGCGCAATCTACAAGGCTTTGGATTGGACATAACAATTTCAAGAAGCAAAGTCCGGCTGAAGACTTAAAATTTAGCGCTTCTCGGGAGGCAACCCGAGCTTTATTGTTTTTCGTAGTTTTCGTTAATTTTTTCGTTTCGTTTTTTTTTTTTTTTTTTTTATTGTCATAAGCATGCATTCTAATTCACTATTTGAATTTTACTTTTCAGGGTCGAAAACGTGATCGAGGGTCGAGTCGGCCGTCCGAAAAAAAAAAAAAAAAAAAAAAAAATTTTTCACCACTGCCTGTGGGACGGCCGTCCCACAAATAGGTGTAAATGTGGGACCCCCGTCCCACAACCAGTAAGGAGAAAAAATTTCGGACGGCCGTCCGAAATTTAGCACAAAAACCGGGACGGCCGTCCGAACCTAGTTGGGGCGTTTTAAATGTTTAAAAATCAGATTTTCTCCCCCATTATTTCCTAAACCCTCCTCTTTCCTTCTCTCCAACTCTCACACACAAAAGGAAGCTAGAGTATCAAACCAAATTCTCCAAAATCTACTCTTTCAAGGCACGCCCACAAGGTGTTCGATAATTTGCTCCAACCAAATTTTGTGTTCGATTGTCAACCAATTCTTACCGAATCTATTCCAATCTCTCTCCCAACTTTCTTGTCCAACAAAAGAAGCCGCACGAGTGAAGCTTCATCTTCTAAAGGCAAAGGAAAAGGCAAGAAAAGTGCCACCAAAACGACGATTCCTCTTCCAAAGCCGCTCCTCAAGCCCGAGACGACCCCGAAGCCTCAAGCTCCCGTGCCGATCGACGATTCCAAATGAAGATGGAGCGAGAGAGCTTTCCGATGATGAGAAGCATGAGAGAGCTAGGGAGGAACACCCCGATCACATCGACTCCGACTAAATCAGGTGTTTTCTATCCTTGAACTTTGTGCTAATTTCGTTGAGGGCAACGAAAATTTTAAGTTTGGGGGTGTTGTGCTTATTTGTTTTAGTTTGCATGCATTAGGTTTTATTCGTTTTTATTGTTTTTCTCGTTTTTCCGGAATATAAAAAAAAAAAAAAAAAAAAAAAAAAAAATTGCTTGAGTCGAATGCATCTATGATTTATGATGATGAGAGATGATCAATGTTTGATGATGAAATTGCTTGTTTTATGTGATAAGGATTTGATGTTTGTTTAGCTTTCGATTCAACGGGACTTAGAAGCGAATTATTGCTAGGAATCACACTTTGTGCATTGCTTTGGTTGAATGTTTTGTATTTTAAATTTGGAATTAATTTGTGCTAGATCATGCTATGTTCGGTTTTAAGACTCACCTTAGGAAATTTATGATACGACGTATTGGGTAGTGAGTAATTTGGGATATGATTTGGGCCTTCTTTGAACCGTTTGAGCCTTTCAAGCCGACCTTTTTATCGAAATTATCCTTAGAACCTTGATTTGAGCTTCGGAGAAAAGGTGTTCTTTCTTTTAGCCAATGTGTGAGGTAGAATTGGTGGAGATTCTCGAAAATTACCCTTGGAGATCGGTCAGAAAGTTTTATAAGGTCCTTCTTCTTCTTCGAAAAAAAAAAAAAAAAAAAAAAAAAGAAAAAAGAAGACAAATATCTATGCTTCTATATATATACATAAAAAAAAAAAAAATAAAAAAAAAAAAAAAAAAAAAAAAAAAGAAGAAGAAGAGACTAGAAGGGAGAAATAAGGACTAGTTGGTGAATTATTTTTGAAAACTCGACCCCTTGCCTCAAAAGAAAAAGTGGAGACCTTTGAACTTTTGAGAATCGAGTTTACTAAAGTCCGTAGAGGTGAATTCATTGTTTCAAACGCCTATCTTTCAAATTTTGGCGTAATCACCTAAATTCAAGAAGAGTAGCCACACATACCCATATTTCCTACCTCGAACCAAAGAGCCTAACAATTGAAAGCCACAAAGCCCCAATGATCCCAATAGCTTAATGTTCGATATTAGTAGAGTAGAATAATTTGGTGAATATTTGGAGTCAAGCATATGCATGTAAGTATAAATTCTTTCTATCTTTAATTTGCAAATATTGGATGCTTGAAGCAATTGTATGAATTGTGGTTTTTGGTAATGGTGAGTGACTAAGGGTTGTTGAATTTTGAGCTTCCGAATGCCTAAGAATTGTCATTATAATTACAAGTTCTGAAAACGTGAAGTTGACCATTGATCTATGTGATGAGATGTTATCGTTGAGTTATTTGCTTATTGGTAGATTTTGCTTGAGGACAAGCAAAAATTCAAGTTTGGGGGTGTGTTAAGTGTATATTTTTACACTTTATCATATCTTTTTATTTGAGCTTTTGGTGTGTTTTAACGATAATTGGTGCTTAAAAAGTTGATTTATTGTATTTTAGGTACAAATTGAAGAATTGGAAAAGTATGGGGTCAAAACTGCAATTTTGGCGAAAATATGGGTCAAAAGTAAAAATATCAAAATTCTGAAGATTTAAAGCTGAGACCCCCGTCCCAGTTTTAGTGCAAATTGTGAGACCCCCGTCCGAGACTCCGAAATTGCGCAGTAAAGGAATTTTAATTGCACAAGGAAACTGCCTTCTTCCCCAAATTCTTCACCCTATATAAGACCAAGCCAAGCACACAATTGGGGATCCATCTTTTTACGCAAATTCAAGAGCAAAGAAGATCAACGAAGATTCAAGCATAGTTTTTCTTATTTAAATTATTTATTTTGTTTATCATAAGAATTACGAGTAGCTAAGTCTTTATTTCTAGGATTTTATTTGGAACCCTATGTGGGATTTATGAACCCTTTTCTATGATTTTATGCAAGTTTTAATTCCGGATTATTTCTTCTACTTGTTTTATTAAGTTCATGAAACTGGCCACTTTATGTGCTTTTATGTTATTGTTAATCGCATGAATCGGAAGATCGGGTTAATAATTAGAACTGTGGTAGAAGAACCTTTGTGGTATTAACATAGGAATATAGTTAATCTCTTAGGTAGCCATTATTGAGATTTGTGCTTAATGATGTGTTCTAGAATTAATTGCATAGGAATATAGTAATTGAATCTAGAGTATTAGAATCGTAATACACGCGGAAGCGGGTTATGATTATTTTAGCATCTCAGGTTAATAATCCGGGTTAATTGCTTGCATAATTGAAGGAATTGGGGGAGTAATAATCACATAGGGGGAAGAATAAAATCCTAGGCTCGTTTACTCTGATAAATCTTCGTGTTTAATTTGCTTTCTTGCTTTGTCGTTTTAATTTGCTTTTTAATTTATTTTAGTTAATTCTCTTTAAAGTCGACTGTGTAGGGTGGGCTTGATAATAATTGGTAGAGTTTAGCGTCTAGGATTAGATAATTAAATATTCCCTGTGGGTTCGATATCCGGACTTAATTGTCCACTATATTACTTGTACGATACGTGCACTTGCGTGTAGGTTTTCGACCAACAAGTTTTTTCACAGTGGACGTAGGAGATATTAGGGGCGAACTCCCGGCAGATGGCGGTGCCGCGCTCGTCTTGGATGTCGGCGATAATAACTCGGGCGCCGTGCTTGGCGAATAGCTTGGCCGCGGCCTCGCCGATTCCGCTTGCACCGCCGGTAATAACCGCCACTTTCCCTTCTAGCCTGCCATTGTGAGTCCGATCAAATATTTCAAATATTATTATTTAGTAAAATAATGCAATGAGGCATAATACATAAACTTAATTTGAACGAAGTATTTTAATTAATTACCTTTTCCCCATAGATTTGATGGCCAAAGACTGCTTACTATTATTTTTATGTGACAAATTGGTATTGCAAGTTGTAGTTAGTAACGAGGGTTGATCTTATAGGACATATTAGATGACTAGTCAGGGCAAAATGGTCTACACTAAATACCGATATTCAACCACAATAAATAATTAAATATAATATAAGTAGAAAGACGGGATGTTGGTTTATAAATTCGTGTAAATAGCACTTAACCGTATGTAGTTTGAACTTTGTGCACATGATCTCCTTGTATTCTTGTTTTAAAACATAACCTCCCAATGGTATTCCACTTAGTAAATAATCATGCTGATTATGAGGGAGGAAGAAATTTTTGAAAATACAGGAGTGTTAAATGCTTATATTAAAATACAAGGTAGTTATGTACTATATTGAAAGTAAAGGGGTTAATATGCACAAAATTTAAACTACATGGGGTAAATGTTATTTACCCTGAAAATTATAATGATTTAAGTTTGTTCAACATTTAGCTGCTGAGAATAATAAAAGTAGTACTAGTCCTTTTTTTTTTTTTTTGATAAAAGAAGTAGTACTAGTCACTAGCATGTGGTTTGACATTTTATATTTTGTGTGACTTAGTTATTATTATTATTATTAGTTTTAGTAGTAGTAGTAGTAGTCCGTAGTAGTATCAGGGGTGAGTCCACCCTTGGGCAGGGTGGACTGAAGCCCACCCTCATTTTTTAATTTGCCTCATATATTATACTATATTTCTATTTAGCCCACCAAAATTTTATTAACTAGTCCATCCAAAATTTAAATTAATGCAAAACAAGCTCCATATTTTATTAAGGGGAAATTGGCTAGACACCCCTTATTCTGGACTTATATAGGTAGAGATCCTAGTTGCTAGATGAATATATGCATAGGTCCTTTATCACGAAAAAATAATATAAATAAAATAAAACAATTAGTATATGAACATAAACACCCTCAATTAATAAGAAAACAAATCTCATACACTCCCTCTCTCTCCAATCTTACGTATCTTTCTTCCTATATAATCTCTCATATTTCTCTTCCTCTCCGTCTCGTGTCTCTGGCTTTTTTCTTCTGATTTTTTTTTTCTTTTCAATCAACACTTTTCGATTTTTTTTTTCCGATCAACTTCTTTCTTTCTCTATACCCTTTCTCGATTACATCTGTTCGATTTTTTTTTCCCTTTGGAATTCGAATTCTTTTGGATTATGTTGTAGGGAAGAAAAAAAAATTGAAGCTTTACATTATTAGATGATTTTTCGGTGAAAGAGTTAAAAGCGGACAACAAACATAAATCGCTCCTTGCTTGCACAAGGTGAGTTTTTTTTTTCTCGTTTTGTATTTATCTGTAGTGAGTTGATAATGTTTGTTTGTATTTCTAATTGATTTTGGTTCAATAAATAGCAAAAAACAAAATAATGAAACAACAAAATCAAATTGTTGTTGCAAACTGCAAATTGCAATCGATAACAGTAGATTTTGTTCAAATTGTTGTTGCAAACTGCAAATTGCAATCGAAACAGTAGATTTTGTTGCAAACTGCAAATTGCAATTTTGCCATTGATAGAATATTTTTTATAATTTTATTGTTGTTTTTTGCATTTTTATGATATGTATGATATTTTTGCTTTGTATTTTTATTTTTATTATTTGCATTTAGATATTGCATATCATATTTTCATTTTATTGTTTATAATTAGATGATGCTGATTTTTTTACTTGTTCAATTTATTGTTTGTATTTGGTGAATTCATAGGTAGTTTGTTGTTTTAAATTCAATAATGCAAGTTTTAATTGTTAGTTTGCTATTTGCATTTTACAGAGACATAAGCGGGCGGCTGCGGCAGTGGCACGGCGTTCGTAGCGGTGGTGTGTTTTTTACAACCTGAGTTGTTACCGAACAACAAACAATTTCTAAACAGCAAATGACACGAAAGCAAATTGGGAAACAACAAATCGAACGAAGGAAAAGGGAATGAAGGCAAACTGCAAACGACCTTGTAAATTGCAAACGCTCAGACACCCAAACCTATGGAAGGCTTCAAAATTTGTGGATATTTTGGTTTTGAAAACACAGGGAAGAATCGTTATCAAGAGATTTGCAATCCTAATTTTCGGATTTGCTGTATAATAGGGAGAAAAATAGGGGATTTGATTTTGAGGATTTATTTTACCATATATTGATAGGGGTATTTTTGACAAATTACAAATAATAAAATCTGCTGGAAATTAGAGTTTATTAGATGGATTTTAACACATATAATCTCTTATAGGAGGACCTATAGCAAATTGCCCCTTAATTAGCCTACCAAAAATTCAAATTAATACAAAAAATTTCCAAATTTTATTAATTAGCCCACCCAAAATCCAAATTAATACAAAAAAAAAAAACTCTATAATTTGTTTTTTTCTTTTTTCTTTTTTTCGTTTCTCCTTTTCCTATTTTCAAAAAAAATCCTACAAAAATCTCGGGGGCGTTGGCCCCGAACCCCGAAAATTAAAGCCCGCTCCTGTACCGAATTCCTGGACTCGCCACTGAGTAGTACTATAATATAGAAAATAGTTCAAATAATTAAAATAAAAGGAAAATTGAGAAAAGTGCAAATAATACAATTTGTTTTCCGACAAAGCTAATTCCGACCTATTTTGTTCAATATGCGCCCCCTAGTATGTTGGCACATATGATATATGTGATGAGAAAGATATTTTGAGTCTTATGTTAGTATTTCCCAATAATATATTTTCCATGTCTTAAAAGTTGATATGAATTTCATAACAAAACAAAAGTTGAAAATTCTAATATATAATTATCGAAATTAAAATAAAAAGAAAAACAAAAAAAAAAGAAAATCAAGAAGCAACCAATCAAGTAAAACCAAGGGCGATAAGGGTTTCCAAAAATATCACTCTACTTTCTAATTAACCATATTTCTCCGCTGCTCGCAGATTTTCTCTTTTATTTTTATAGATAATTAGTACCTAATTTTCATCAACCAAATTTCTGCTACTTTGTTTTTCCCAAACCAAATTGACACCGCCATTCCGCTCTCATGCTTCTCTCTAGTGAATTGAGAATTTTTTTATTGAGAAATTGAAGCTCAAAAACTCTTCCTTTTTCTGACGAACCAATTCTGGAACAACTTTAGATACATCAATTTTCTTGTTGCATTGTTGCTGCAGGCAGGTGAACGGCATTGCTCCAGCTTTAATTTCATAATATTGATGCATCAATTAAGCAGTCCTAATTTCTTCATTTTTTTCAATTTTCTTGCTTACTACTATAGGAGCATTACCATATGTTGTTTTCCTGATTTTTTTTTTTTTTAATTAATCTGAGTTTGAATTTATATTTTCATCTGCTTGATTATGTGTATTGTTGTTTGTAATTCAATTTTTTTTGTAACGTGACTTCAAAATTAGGGGTTTTATTGCTTTAAATTGGTATCAGTAGTAGAGTTTGAATGTAGCTCATCCTTACCATCGGGTCGCGGATTTGTCTATTTCAGGTAGTTAAGAGGAAAATAGGCTCGACACTCGAGTATAGTTGATAAGTTTCTGAAAGGAGCTTGGATTTGAAAGTCCGCATTAATGGCTACGTGCACATCCCCTTATTTCACGCCACCAGATACTCGTAGGCCAATCGGGGTATTAACCGTTGGTGGGGCCAGAGTTTCCCCTTTGAAAATGGTCGACGAAAGGAATGGGTTTTCAAGTGTTAGTCATAAATGCAGTTCGACTTCACCCCAGTTCAAATGTTCAGCAAACTCGCACGGTGCCAATAAATTTCAAGGCAACGACCCGTTTCTGAATCTACATCCGGAGATATCTCTGCTTAGAGGCGAGTTGAACTCTACAATGACCGAAACAAGACAGGATAATTCGAGTGGAAATGTTACTGAGATATCGAGAGATTCGGCAAGTTCGAATAACTATAGTGATGCCAAGATTAAGGTTATTGGTGTTGGAGGCGGTGGCTCGAATGCAGTTAACCGTATGATAGAAAGTGCGATGAACGGGGTTGAGTTCTGGATTGTTAACACTGATATCCAGGCAATGAGGCTGTCGCCCATTTTTCCCGATCACCGTTTGCAGATTGGTCAAGAGTTGACTAGAGGACTTGGTGCCGGTGGGAACCCAGAAATCGGAATGAATGCCGCTAGAGAAAGCAGAGAATCTATTGAGAGTGCAGTTTATGGAGCAGACATGGTTTTCGTCACTGTAAGCTTTTCTTTTTTTATTGGCCAATCAAATATGTTATTTCCATTTTTTTCCTAAAATATTTTTTCTCCCTGGATAGCACTACCATTTAATTTCATTCCATATTATCACGAGCATCGAGATGTTTTATGGTTAATACTTAATAGTTACTAATTTTGGTCATTTGATGTAAATCCCAAACATAGTATCACCACGTTTTCCAAATTGACCACAATGTGCACCAAAAACTTCTCGATGATTATTCACCGGTTGCTATGTTCTAAAAGTGAACAGTTGAACGCGTAGTCGTTTAAGAAAGTGTTGATTTTTGCCATTTGAAACTGATTTTCAACTTAAATATGCCTTCTCGACATCCGTACCTTTTTTTTACCATTTAGCAAATGGAAATATCAGGGCTTTGGAAGACCCGTACTTTACGTATAGCATTAACGTTTGACCATAGTCAGATTGTAATCTGTAACCTGCTGGACTCACACTATTGTATTATTTCTCAATAGTTGTAAAAACCAACGTTAGTTTCGAAGTCTAGACGAGAAACTAAAGTCTTTTGGTGCAAATGTGCAGGCTGGAATGGGCGGTGGAACAGGAACTGGTGGAGCTCCTGTTATTGCTGGAGTTGCAAAGTCGATGGGTATTTTGACTGTTGGTATAGTCACCACTCCTTTTTCTTTCGAGGGGCGAAGAAGAGCGGTTCAGGCCCAAGAAGGAATTGCAGCTTTAAGGGAAAATGTTGACACATTAATTGTCATCCCAAACGATAAACTTCTGAATGCAGTTTCCGCAGCTACACCGGTTACAGAAGCATTTAATCTTGCTGATGATATTCTACGGCAAGGTGTCCGTGGTATTTCTGATATAATCACGGTATGGCTGAGACAGTTAGTATATGTTGTAATCAAATGTACCCATACGTCTTTGTATTCCCAAGGAAGTCGTGGAATTGATTGTTCCTTTTCGATTATGCAGATCCCAGGACTCGTAAACGTTGATTTTGCTGATGTACGAGCCATTATGGCTAATGCAGGTTCTTCATTAATGGGAATAGGAACCGCAACAGGTATTGTGAAGAAGCCGTACTTTTTTTTTCCCCAGTTAAGAGTGTTAGCCTAATATTTGTCATCTTGCTGCAATTCAGGGAAAACGAGGGCGAGAGATGCTGCGTTAAATGCCATTCAATCTCCTTTGCTGGATCTTGGTATAGAAAGAGCTACTGGAATTGTGTGGAATATAACTGGTGGCACTGATCTTACCTTGTTTGAGGTAGTTTGCCTCCCCCTACCCCCACACCCCCACCCCTACCCCCACCCCTACCCCTACCCCCACCCCTACCCCTACCCCTACCCCTACCCCCGCCCTAAAAAAATTGTTATATTTTTTACGATGAGAGCAAGAAATTGGAAAATATCACTTTGCTATCGGTGAATTCAGCGTAAATGCTTTACGTTGAGAGCAAGAAACACTGTTCCACAAATATACATGTAAACTTGGCTAACTTTCAACTTAGAGTAGGAACGGAAATTTTCTTCCATATTGGTTTTCGAAACACTAGTCGATGTCTTTAGAGATGTAACTTTTTATGACACTGTAATTAACGTGTGTTCGGTTACAAGGTAAATGCTGCAGCAGAGGTGATATACGATCTTGTGGATCCAAGTGCCAACTTAATATTTGGTGCTGTGATAGATCCATCCATAAGTGGCCAAGTAAGTCTCTCTCTATTAATCACCAACGAGGAAAAATACGAATTAACCAGATTATTAAACTACTTGGAATAAAATTTGATCAAGCTGCTTTGCTTAATACAGGTAAGCATAACATTAATCGCCACCGGATTTAAACGTCAAGAGGAAAGTGATGGAAGGCAGTACCAGGTATTATTATTATGTTTTTTATAAATATTTTTTTCATCACTCGTACATGATACGAACACTTGGTGAAATTCATTTCAATGAAATCATTTCTAAACAAGAGAAAAATGCAGGCAAGTCAGGTGGGGCAAACAGATACGAACATTGGCATTAATAGGCGATCTTCATCCTTTCTAGAAGGTGGTTCTGTAGAGATTCCCGAGTTCTTGAAGAAGAAAGGACGATCTCGTTTTCCAAGGGCTTAAGGGTCCTTTTACTTCAAGTAATCTTCGACTTGGTCTCTCTTTTTCTGTACATGATTTTTGGCCTTTTCTTTTTTCCTCCATCCGTGTGAATCTTAGCTTTGAGAAAAAGATACAACGATAGTCGATACATTTATTTGTTAAAACATAATAAATTTTTAGCATTGAAAAGAAACTCTTGTCGAAATATTATTATACCTCTTTCGATTGATCGCAGTTGTATATTTATGTATGTCTAGTCTAGAGACGAACATATATAAACTTCAAATTATATATCAAAAGAAATTGTCGAGTTTTTTTATGATGCATATACATTCAAATTAATTCGTAATTGATTTCGTAACATTATAACAGTATATCGTTACAATAATCGTACTAGAACATGATGCATGTGGGCAAAGCTGATCAAGTCGAGATCAACTAAGCTCGAGCGAGCTCGAACGAGTCAATATTTTCATGAGTATGGGTGTGAACGAGCCGAGCTCGAGCCGAGTTGGCCAGCTCGAGCTCGGGCTCATTTTTTTTTTTTTTATTAAAATCATTTAATTTTTTATTAAAAATTATTTATAGGAAAATAAAAAAAAATTATAAAATAAATAATGAGCTCTAGTTATATTTTTTTTATTTTTTTATTATTATTATAATATTTTATATTATTATTATAAACTACTTACTATTTAGTTAATAATATATATATATATATATATATATATATATATATATATATATATATATATATATATATATATTAAAAAATAAAAAATAAAAGAGGGCAGCTCGCGAGCTGCCGAACAACTAAATTTGGGCTCGAGTTCGAGTTCGAGACTTTGTCGAGCCGGCTCGTTTACCACCCCTATCCATGAGTATTACTCAACTTAATACGCGTAAGATTGTTAAAGTTTTAAATTTTAATTACTGTAATATAAATGAACAATTCCAAATTACTACATGTGTGAAACCTCGTATCAATCTTTGAGTCAATTCATACCAAGGAATAGAAAAAGATTAAGATTGGGCTTAATTGTCTGATTAGGAAATGATGAAATGACTTCATTAATGTAATTGGAGACAAGCCCACGTGGTTTTGAGTTATTCAAAATGTGCGGCCATTATGTGATAAATAAATAAAGTACTAATAACTTTTAATAAAAGGGATTTTTATGCAAAAGTCCCCAACCAAGCATGTTTATTATTCTAGGTTTAGGGGACATATCTCTTTTACCAATAAGCCCATCCCTTTAATATTTATTATAACTAAAGGAAACATTCATGTATATCCCAATATTACCCTCAACTATTTATACCCAATTCTTAATTGTAATCCAAATTAATCAATTTTGTCCATAAAAGTTCAATTTTGACCACAAAAATTCAATTTTGACTTTTTTTTGGAGTATAATTTAATATGCTCCAATTTCATCCTTAACTTAATTTAATCTCAATTTGACCCCAAATTTCACAAATTATTAAATTTTGACCCAAATTTTTTTTTTTTTCAAAAAATATTTTTTTTTTCAAAAAATATTTTTTTTTTCAAAAACTTTTTTTTTGCCGCCGGATTCCGGCGTTGACTTTTTTAATTTTTTTTTTTTTTTTCCGGATTTTTTCGCCGGTTTCCAGCGTTGACCGGCGGTCAACGCCGGTCTCCGGGGTTGACTTTTTTTTTTTTTTTTTTTTTTTTTTTTTTTTTCTTCCGGATTTTTTTTCCGCCGGATTTTTTCGCCGGTTTCCGGCGGTCTCTTTTTTTAGTGTTTTTTTAAGTTTTTTGTTTTGTTTGGTTTGCTTTGTTTTTCCACGTCCGCCGCTAAACGTTGACCGTAATTGTGCTGTCAGTGACAGTAAATTAACGTAATTATACTGTCAATGATAGTTAATTAACGTAATTGTACTGCCGTTGACATTACATTTATGTAATTGTGCTGCCGTTGTCAGTAAATTAATGCAATATTATATTTTTTTATTTATTATTATTTTTTTTTATTTTTTTTTTGATTTGTTGACAAGTCAACGTAATTATATTACTGTCGTTGACAGTAAAATAACTGTAAACACAATAATATTACTGTCAACAACATCAATATTATTATTTTTTTGTGGTGTTTGTATTAATATTACTGTCTATTATCGTAATATTACGGTAAACATTGT